CTCCAGTGAGATGTTTAATTGTCCACACCATTCACGACTGGATGTGGCAGGCCTGCAGAGCTTCGATCTGATCCATTGGTTGTGGGATCGCTTAGCTCTGTTTATCACTTGCTGCTTTCGCTGTTTGGCGTGCAAGTAATCCTGTTTGGTGCTTCACCAGGTTGACACCTCCTCTTCAGGTATGCCTGGTGCTGGTCCTGGCATGCCCTCCTGCACTCTTCATTGAATGAGGGTTAATCCCCTGGTTTGATGGTAATGGTTGAGTGGGGGATATGCCAGGCCATGAGGTTACAGATTGTGCTGGAGTACAATTCTGCTGCTATTGATGGCCCACAGCAACCTCATGGATACCCAGTCTTGAGCTGGTAGATCTGTGTGAAGTCTGTCCCATTTAGCACAGTGATAGTGCCACACAACACGATGGAGGTTGTTCTCAATGTGAAGGTGGGACTTTGTCTCCACAAGGACTGTGCGATGGTCACTCTTACCAATACTATCATGGACAGATGCATCTGCAGACAGCAGATTGGTAAGGATGAGGTCAAATATGTTTTTCCCTCTTGTTGGTTCCCTCACCACCTGCCGCAGACCCAGGCTAGCAGTTATGTCCTTTAGGACCTGACCAGCTCGATCAGTAGTACTGCTGCTGAGCCACTCTTGGTGGTGGACATTGAACTCCCCCACCCAGAGAACATTTTGTGCCCTTGCCATCCTCAGTGCTTCCTCCAAGTGTTGTTCAACATGGAGGAGTACTGATTCATCAGCTGAGGGAGGATGGTATGTGGTAATCAGCAGGAGGTTTCCTTGCCCATGTTTAACCTGAAGCCATGAAACTTCATGGGGTCTGGAGTCAATGTTGAGGACTCCCAGAGCAACTCCCTCCCAACTGTATACCACTGTGCTGGCCCCGGATGGTGATGGTGGTGTCTGGGACATTGTCTGTAAGGTATGATTCTGTGAGTATGACTATCTCAGGCTGTTGCTTAACTAGTCTATGAGACAGCTCTCCTAATTTTGGCAGTAACCATCAAATGTAGGTCAAGAGGACTTTGCAGGGTCGACAGGGCTGTTTCTGCCATTGTCTTTTCTGGTGCCTAGGTCGATACCAGGTGATCCGGCCGGTTTCATGTCTTTGAGACTTTGTAGCGATTGCTGCAACTGAATGGCTTGCGAAGCCATTTCAGAGGGCAATTTAGAGTCAACCACATTGCTGTGGGTCTGGAATCACATGTAGACCAGAGACCAGGTGAGGGTGACACACTTCCTTCCCTGAAGGGCATTAGTGAACCAGATGGGTTTTTCCTGACAATCAGCAACCATTCTTAATTCCAGATTTTTTTTTATTCGAATTCAAATTCCACCTTCTGCCGTGGTAGGATTCGAACCCAGGACCCCAGAACATTAGCTAAGATTCTGGATTAATAGGTCCAGCAATAATACTGCTAGGCCACCATACTGTTAAGAGTGGAGAGTATTCCGTCACCCCTTGAACTGAGGAACAGTGCAGTGCATAGCATCAAAATAGCACAGTGAGCGGTAAACGGGAGGGAGGCAGGTTGAAATGAGGGGAAGTCAGCAATCCCATCCCATGTTTCTAAGAACTGGGAAAGACTATTGGGAATGAATCTCTGGGTTATGCTGCTGTGTATTTGCAGTTCGTCTCCATATTTACAATCCAGCAACTTCCAACCCGATCTCTGGACTGGGAAAGAAAGATTAGAAGTTGCCACAACTTCCCAATTTGAGGCATATTAAAAGGAATGGACAGTACTCCGGTCAGTCCCCAGTAGACCGCAGATCATTGAGATTACATCACTCAGCTCGCAAATCCTTCAATACCAGTCACCCTTAAAATAAACACTGTATGATTTGTGTTTTGTTGCTGGAAAATTGGCAACAGACCTCTTCAGAACAGGATCTGAAAGGACACAGGAAATATGTGGGGAGTGTGCACAGTGTAAACCAACTTGTTAAGTGTTGACGTCAGTTAAAGAGACACTGCCTTTTTGAGAGAGTTTCTGAGCATCTTTCTCCTTCCATTTCAGAAATGGGAAATGTTGTCCACTATTCTCATACTCCAGCAATACAGTAAAGGGAAAAAGCTCATTGGCCTATCTTAACTCATCTACATCTCACAAATCTCTGAAATAATTGAATTTATTAAACAGCACATATAGCCATCAGTGTACATGAGGTGTTTTTGTTTGGAGGCAGCATGTTGCCCATGTCTATCCTGTAAATACCTGGAGGAAGGATTTATTCCTGACATGTATTATTCTAAACTCATTTGCAGTTTTTAACCTTTAGTTTACCTTTTAGTCATTTTAATCGAGGGTATTATTCTGGTTCAACATTTTCTATAATAGTCCGTTAAATCTCTGAGTCTCACCTCTCTGAAGGATCCTCCTTCGGGAGGCTCAATCCTAACTTTATAATGTGGACTTCTTCGCACTGTATCAACCTTGTGGTTTCTCTCTGCAGTGTCTCTCTTACTTGGAAGCCTCTCAATCTTGGTGAGTCGAACCGGAACCCGTGCTGGAGGTCTAACTAGAACACTGTACAATTTGATCATCGCTCCCTCTGACATGTGTTTTACATTCTGACTCTATTAATCACTATTCTGTTGGTTTTATTTACTGCTCTGCATTGGCTTGACATGTTTATCCTGAAATCCAATCAACTCCTTAGAGTTGTACCGTTATTCTTTGTTGTGATAAATCTGATCTACCATACAACTGTCCGCAAATATTTTGCCTAATTTGTTTGGTCATTTCTGAGCCACCACATCTGCCTGTTTTAGTTAAATTTGCAAAGGATACAAAACTACTTTGATGAAGTTTCTGAGTTTGCGCAGTCAGTATTAAGTCCTGGGGCACTGCGCTCCGTATTACCCTTCCACCAACTCCCTTCTACCTTAAATAGCTCCTCTGATGAGTACTACGCATTTCCTCCCTTTCAGTCAGTTTCTTATCCTTCCCAGAATTTGACATGATTCCACATACATTCAAAATCAAGAGCCGTTTGTGTTGTATTTTGTATAAAACATTTTTCAAAGTCACGATGTAAGATTTCTTGTCACATCCCAGGGTTTTGGGGTTCACCAGATCATGGGGCTTGATCTGGTAAAACATTCTCCTCCTTCAATTTCCCCATACCAGGGGAAAGACTTTGACTTTGATATGGGGGCAGCAATGGAGATCTAATGTGGAGTGCTACCTGCATCATGCTGGCACTGAGGCACTTCAGGAAGGATGTGTGGGAAGTGGACTTTCCACCCTTACAAAAGTGACACATTCAGTTCATTAATGGGCAAATTAAAGTGCTTTGTGTTTCAGCCAGCCTAAGGGAGTGCCCTCCAATGCCCATTAGGACCATGGCAGAAAAGTAATGCCCACCCAGGTGACATTGGCCTCCCAGCTTCAGGGCCAACTTTGAAGAATCCAGCCACTGCAATGTTGACCTGTGCGTGTTTTTTAATCTTGAACATTGCCAAAGGACTCAGAAGGTGCCTGTCTCTCTGTCTCCCTGTCTCCCTGTCTCTCTGTCTCTCTGTGTTCCCCAGTACCTTGCAGTTTCTTTTCAGGCTGGAGAGCCTCCCAGGTACCTCCCAGCTGTGTCAGAATTGTTTCATCTATTATCCTTTTTATTGTGGTGACTGCTGAAGCTTTTCACGGTACTTACCCGTAGATTTCACTGTAAAATGCAAATAGCAATAAGGAAATCAATAATTAATTTATTTGTTCATAAATAATCAGTCATTCAAATGGGAAATGCCCGAGGTTATTATTAAACAAATGAATGCTCAAATTTGCATCAGTGTGTTTTACAAAAATGGCTCTTCCTCAAATGTATATTTATGCAACCTTTATCTCGAATGGTTTGTCTTCTGCAGCTGGGGTTTAAACAATGAGATTATTTTCGATTAACTCCTGCGGCAGAGGATAAGCCCAAGCGTATGAGTGTGGATATATACCAGGCCAGCAAGATGCATGTGACTGACAATAAAAGTGAAATACTGTGGATGTTGCGAGTCTGAAATAAAAACAGGGAACGCTGGAGAAACTCAGCAGCTCTGGCAGCACCTGTGAAGAGTGAAATAGAGTTAATGCTTTCAATCTGATTTGACTTCTTCAGTCCTCCCATCCCCTTCACTCTAATCTTCTTATCTTTTTCACTCTTCCCTTTCCCCTCTGCCTTAAATTCTCATTGTGCTTCCTCAGGCCAGCTCCATCTCTCTCTTGTGCCACCTGTCCCTGAAGCTTGATGTTCTTTGCAATTACACGTGACAGCTACATTTTGTACATGAATGTTCTCTTTTCCTTACTTCCCATGTTATTTCTTTGTCTGATCATCTTATTGTATTGACTGTCCAGGAGAAACAATCTATTATTAGTCTCATGACATTCCGTTTCTGGCACACGTGAAAACAATCTGACTTTTCACATTCTGCAGAGCATTTAGGGCTGAGCTGCTAATGGAAACATTGACAATCGCATTCTGTGAAATAATTAAATCAATAGAACTCTTCCTCGTGCTTAGAAATCATCAGCCCAGGTAATGAGGTCAGTCCGTGAACAAACAGAATCTACAGCCTCTTTGTTCCAGTCAAACAAAGTCTAACTTTGTAACCTCCTCCAACCTCAAAACCTCTAAAATCCTTGCATGACTCCTATTCTGGCCTCCTGTGCATCCAGAACTTTCATTGTCCCACCATTAGCTGATATGCCTTCAAGTTGCCTACCCTAAGCTCTATAATTCTCTCACTGAATTTCTGTAATCTCCTGTCTCTCCGTGTCCTCCTTTAAGATATTCTTTAAAACCAATGTCTAAGACCAAGGGCATAATTTTCCCAGCTGAGTAGTGGCTGGGAGAACTGTAGGCTTCAAAAGTCCCAGAAAATTATCATCCCATCCTCTCCTGGTGTTTCCCAGTTGGTCTGGTTGAGGTGGTTGCAAAAACAATCTAGAGCCTATTTAACATTGAACTTCTTCCTTTGTCAGCAGGGCACAACCTCCACATGGTATCTGCAAATTGCCAAAACCACTAAGGGGAATGCACAGTTGGAAGATCTTCTTTGATGAAACTGACAAGCTGGATCTTTGATTGGTTTCACTGAACAGCTCCAGCCATGGCCAAGTGACTGCCTGCTTTCCAAGGCATGTCTCCTGTCAAAGCGTTATCACGGTTTGGTGGGTCATTGGAAGACACTTCACCTGGCATTGGGTTCCCCCACCTTCAGCTGCATCTCCCTCCACAGTGTAGGAACGCAGCACTCCCTTGTACCTCTGCTGAGTGACTCCTGCTCAGCAGCTATATGCCATTCCCCAGAGCAGGTCGGTGAGATCAAGCTCAAAGGAGATCAGGCCTCCAACGCAGCAAGCGATCGGTTTCTCGCCAAATCTGAGTGCCAGTGACTCGGGGGCTCCAGATCTCAGGGAATGTCATTGCTGAGATCTGCAGCTTCCTGCGCCAAGATCCAACCCAGCGGAGAGAAGGCATTGCCAACGGCAGATGAGGTGCCCATAACTTGAAGACCAGCCTTGCCAACCCAACCCACTCCCCAGTCACTGTCTCTCAACAAGCTGTGCACTCTTTTCTCTTGCAAGGAGGATAAACGGGGAGGTGTGAGTGTTGATCACAGCATTTGTGCCGAGCGGAGAAGGGCACCATCTGTGGTGAGTGACTTTGAGGGATTGTGAACTGCCTCGGAGTGAAACTGCAAGGCATCCTGACATGAGAACGTGACCCATTCTGAGGAAAGGTCACTTGACCCAAAATGCTCACTCTGATTTCTCTACACAAATGCTGCCAGATCTGCTGAGCTTTTCCAACAATTTTTATGTTTGTACCGAAATGAAGAGAGCTGTGTAAGAGAATACTGGAGCATCCAATGTGGAGTTGGCACCTTGAAAGTGTTTTCCCACTTATCAGTCATGTCCTCCTGCACCTTCTCAGTGCACTACCTCCAGTTTGATGGGAGTGCACTTCTTGTAATGACTTCCTCAATCACTTCCACCAGAGCCTCTTGGTCAGAGAAAGCTGTTCCATTTGTCCAGTCCTTGAGAGAACGCACCTCGCTTCAGCCCCTCAGACCCCACAGGTACAAGTGCATGGTGGCTCAGTAGTTAGCACTGCTGCCTCACAGTGCCTGGGACCCGGGTTCAATTCCACATTTGGATGACTGTATGGAGTTTGCACATTCTCCCTGTGTCTGCATGGGTTTCCTCCAGTTTCCACCCACAGTCCAAAGATGTGCAGCTTAGGAGGATTGGCCATGTTAAATTGCCCCATAGGGTCCAGGGATGTGCAGGTTAGGTCAGTTAGGCATGGGAAATGGGTTACAGGATAGGGTGGGTCTGGGTGGGATGCTCTTTGGAGGGTTGTTGTGGACTCAATGGGCCAAATGACCTGCTTCCACACTTTAGGGATTCTATAATTTTATGACTTGTTGAAACAGACGTGCCCTGGTGGCCTCTCCATTCCTGTCTTTGCTGCTTACTCAGAAAGCAGGTTTCTGGTGAGCCATTGTAACCCATGGTCTGGTGTCTTTATTTGGAAATCCTTCCTTCTGTAAAATAGATACATCCCTCTCCCACCTCCCTGAATGTTTGAAGGCACATTGCTCATCAGATTGCCCTTGACAAAGCAGGGAGAAGAGTCACCTTAAACATTTGACCAGCTGCCCTCACACGCTTTCAGTGGCTCAGTGTCAAGTTTGATTTAGTAACGTTCTTGTGAAGTCCTTTGTGATGTTGCTGGGTTCAAGGCGCAAGTTAATTTTTGTTGTTGTTTGCACCAAGCACCTCACTAAAAAGGCACCCTTTTAATTTCCATGTGCATGAGGCTTTGTTCTTGTGGGCGGTGGATTTAGACTGTAGTAAAAGGCAAACATTAATACAGAGTCATGCTTGTTTTCAGGAACAAAACAGAAGAATGAGCTGCTCCTTCTAATTTCCCTCCAGAAAACGACCTGCTGGACATGGCTCCCACATTCAGCAGTGCCTTTGTCACTATACAGAAAATCTATTACCCATCACTATGTGCAGTTGGGATCCCAGGTAAGCCTCACTGCATTGTGAAGTGAAAATGATCTACAGAGCCATTGTAAAGGTGATAGGAATGAAATAGGAGCAATGGACTAACAGGACAAGGGGTGGGAAAAGGAGGTGCTAGGGGGAGACGAGTGAGACTTATCAAATCACCAATCCTTTTCGAAAAGGTTTATAAATTTTATAGACATAAACACAGGAAAAACTCCTCCCCACATCGTCACCTGCACTAGCCCACAATTTTTATGCAACATCTCATTATTGTTGGTCTAATTCCCTAAACGTCCATGGCCAATCATGAACCAATGGTTCAATTTCTATACTGTCCTTGGAGGGCCTGCACTGCAGATTCAGCAAAATGATGCCAGGGCCGATAGGCCCATTCTGAGGATAGGTTGCATAGTCTAAGTTTGATTTGCCTGGAGTTGACAAGACTAAAGGATGATTGAATTCAGGTCCTAAAAATTATAAAATGGAATCTCAGAACAAATTGGAACAGCCGTAACACCTCAACCTGACCTGTTAGGAGTGAAATTAGACACACATTTCCACACAAAGAGAGGAAGCTGGGACTTTCTCCTCTGAAATGGCTATAGCTGATGAAAGGATGAGAGAAATTCAAAGGGAAGACCGTGGTGTAGAATAGTATTTCCTGTGTGTAAACCTAAAACCATCTAAAATTCTCCCTTTGATTTAACTCACAGTAAATCACCATTCACCTATTAACCCTCTGCTGTCTGATCTACACTGGTCCCAGTCAAACAGCCCCTTGATTTTAAAACTCCCCCCCTTGTTTGCAAATTTCTCGATGGCTGTGCTGCTGCCTATCTCTGTGATCTCCTCCCGCTTTGCAACACTCTGGTTATCTACAGTTGTCCAGTTGTGCATTCCCAATGACAATTCCTTCACCACTGATGGTTGTACCTTCAGATGCCTGGGTTGCGAGCTCTAGTGTGTCCTTCCTACACCTCTCTGTCTTTCTACCTCTTTCCCCTCGTTAAGGCACCACCTCCTTCCAAGCTCGTAGACGTCTGATCTCATGTCTCCTTTTGGAGTCGCTGTCATTCTTTGTCTTACAATGTTCCTGTGAAGCAGCTTGGTACTTTGCATTTGCAGCACAGTGTAAATGTGACTGTTGCTGGTCACCATCTCTACAGTTTTCTTCAAATCTAATCAGCAGAACCTTCAGGCGTGAGCCCATATATTCCAGAAATGCTGACATTCTCAGCAAGATAGACAGCACCTTCAGAGAATAAGAAACAAAGTGACCCGTTACCAGTTGATGGCACTTTATCAGAACTGGGAATAAACTCAAAGACGTAACAGATTTTACACAAATACAGATTGAGCCAAATGTTGGACTTTGTGGGGTCTTATTAATATAGAAGTTTGCAAGCAATTTCTAGATTGTTTGTTGAGTTTATTAAGAAGCAGCAGTTTGGAGATGTTATGTTCATTAATTAATGACAGAATATAGCTATGACAGTTTGGGATGGTTCACTGACACCAGAGGATAACAGGCTGTTGGTGCAAAATGTGTCAGTCTCGTTAAAGCTGTGAAGGCAGCAACTTGCTCTCTAGCAGAGATGTTAGAGAACTCTCTGCTGAGTCTTTCTCCTCTTCCTCTGTTTGGTCTTCTATCTGGAGAGGCCAACTTCCTAATGAGCACAGCCATCTACGAGGGCTGCCTGCCAAGGACTGCCTTCAGCCTATCAACACATTTTAAATTCCTCTATTTCTTTGGGGGTTGGGGGGTGCTGGTAGTTTGTGCTGTGTCAGTCACTTCTCTGAATTATGTTGTTGACTGACCATAAGGTAGTGACCTGTGACATTGGATTAGCGATGTCCCTTGGCCCATGTGAAGATTGGGTGCCTTTCCTCTGAAGACCAAAACATCATAGTCTTCCTGAACAAAAAC